GCTGTTTACTTAACCGACTATAAAGGAAAATGCTTTGCCTTCTTCAAGCTGTGTGTATCAGCCAGTAGCTAGTGGGGAGAATGGATCAAGGACAAATTCTCCTCCGATGACCTAGCTGACCTGCCTTGTGAGACGCGTAGTAATGGATTAACTGTCATTCAGACAGCAACAGTGATGGGGGACAACAAAGAATTGTGGCCACAGACAGTAAAAGTGACAGTAGCTCCGACGATAACGCGGGTAATAACATTGCGGGGACAGCAAAAAATCTAAACCCTGATTCAAAATTGAAATACAAAGCATTTCTGATGAATGTGGCAAAGGCCTGGGCTACAGTCCAGATGGTGGCGGCAGAACCAGGGTCGCACAAAGACTCAGTATGACCAGGCCCATCAACTCCCACCCCACGAAGGCCTCATGTGGACCCCCCAGGGCGACTCTTGAGTGATATGCGGAAAAATACCCTCGTGAAAATTGTGAAGAGTGAACATTCAAGGGGAAGAATACTTCTAGGCAATGCCGTGTTTGCACAGTTCACAAAAAAGGAGTATGTCTACATTTGCAAGTTCTGTGTAATGTCACTTCACAAAGGGGAAAGTTTCCAGAAATATCACACCCTCAAGCACTTCTAGGAGCATTGGTAAGGTGTTCTCCAAAAATTTTAGTCAAAAAAATTAATTAGGAGATTTTATATTAATTTTTAAAGTGAACAGTGCACAAGTTAGGGTAGTATGTTTAAAAATGCCGGTCCCCAGGGTGATTTAATATTTAAATCACCGGTCCACGAAGTGTTAAAATATGATGAAATTGAACTTTATTTAAGGACCAGTGGTAACCTTAGGTATACCAGTGATTGACATGATTGTACTATAATTAAAAACAATGATCAATATATACAAAACTATAACCTCACCTGTTCTTTTATATGGGTGTGCAACTTGTTCTTCAACCTAAATAAGGCATTACCAATTGCCTTAAAATGGAAAGATAAGGATAGGGATAGTTATCCAAGTGTAAATAAACAGATGCTGGGTGTCCAGGAAGTTAAGGTGAGTGCTTGTGAAAACAAGGTTCTGTTACAAACATAAGGAAATAGTGAATCTGGTGACCATATAAATATTCATGAGATCAGTACGTAGAGACAGTCATGTGCAGACAGTTCAGGAACTTCAGGAGAGCATTTGTGTAAATAAGGAAGATATAAATAGTGAAATGGAAGACCAAAAAATAACTGAAATGGACAAACTGAAACAAGAAAAGACTAGTATACTATCTAAGAGAACTAGATGTCAACCATTAAAAAGAAAAGTATTTTTTATGGTAAATCCCTTGCAAGAAACTGTCTTTTCTGAATGTAGAAGAAGATCTGATAAAATACAATATTTAAGTATTCTACATCATAATGTTCAAAGTTCGAGAAATAAATTATTGGAATTAAATGCACTACTCAGGTCATGGTTATCAAAGCCAGATATTTTATGCTTTTCTGAACACTGGCTACAAAAGGATCAAATTTTACATATAAATATCGAACATTATAAAGTGGTAGGTAAAAAGCTAAGCATGGGGGTTCATGTATATTTGCTTCTAATGTAATAAATGTTAGGGAGGTACTCTTTTTACAGAATTTACGAAGCGATAAAGAACTTGAAATGTCAGCTGCTGAAATAGTTGATCTCCTGAAAGAATACTGGATGAAATAATGTGGTAATGAAAAGGGGGACTTTTTTGGTGATATGTGGCAACTAGACTATTAACCTATTACATGAAAATATTCATCAAAAAGCTTTATTAAGTCTATTGTTGTTGAAGAATTTATTAAATACAGTTGCATGTCCAATGAGAGTTACAACAAACTCAAGCTCTCTAACTGATGTAATGATCAATAAGATATTTTATCATACCACAACAAAACAAAGAAACATTAGCAGGAGCTCCATAATTTGTACTCTTCATCAATTAATATTAGGATGATACATAGGTAAGTCAATAAGTAAGTTATATATGGATATAGAACTTAAACAAATAAGAGTACTGATTTGAAAAATGCTTTTATTTCTCAACATAATCTCCCTGTACATTGAGGCACTTCTCCCATCGTTTAACAAGCCCCTGAAAACCAGCAGCATAAAATTCTTTGGGCTGCTGTCGGAACCAGGCAGTGACTGGGATCATGAAGGCATACTGCTCACCGCAAGGAGCCTCAAGGACAAACTGTAAATCCCGACTCCTACTGTAACATCCTCAGGAAACTTCGTTAAGGCCATTCGACAGAATCAACCAGGACTCCTCACCAAAGGCATGTTGCTCTTGCATGACAACGCGCGTCCCCATACTGCCAACAAGACAAATCAGACGCTGCGAAATTTCAAGTCGGAAGTCCTCGAGCATCCTCCATATAGCTCCGACCTTGCTCCAAGCGACTTCCATTTGTTCGGCCCTTTTAAACATCACGTTTCAGCTGAACATTTTCCCGACAATGAAGCTGCAGAAAGGGAAGTCACCGCCTGGTTCCGACAGCAGCCCAAAAAATTTTATGCTGCTGATTTTCAGGGGTTTGTGAAACGATGGGACAATTGCCTCAATGTACAGGGAGATTATTTTGAGAAATAAAAGCATTTTTCAAATCAGGACTCTTATTTGTTTAAGTTCTATATCCATTTGTAACTTACTGATTGACTTACCCTCGTAGAATCAAAGAGGATGAATGATGTGAGAAAAGTATATAACACATATGTAGAAGATGAGATATGACAAACACATTCAAAGTTTAAGTAACAAAATTTTCATGGAAGAGACCACTCATGAGGCCTAGGAGTAGATAGGAGGATAGTATTAAAGTGGATCTTAAGGAAGCAAGGTGTGAAGGTGTGAAATGGATTCAACTTGCTCAGGATAAGGTACAGAGATGGTTTCTCACAAACATAACATTGAATGGCAGTGATTATGAAGAGTTAGGTACAGAGATGGTTTCTCACAAACATAACATTGAATGGCAGTGATTATGAAGAGTTATATCATCAGGGATATAACACCATATATGCATTATATATCCCTGAAGACAAAACTCTTTGAGTTTCAGCTTATCATGAATGATTCTAATCAATCTGCTTAGTTAGTTAGTTAATTATTAAGAAAGCATTTATCATGCTCCATTAATGTGTAACATACAAACTTCATGAGAAGGCAAGAGTAACAGGAAGAGTCACTTTTACTTACCTAATTTGGCATTTTGGAAACTGAAATGTATTGTCACTTAATTTTATTTCTGGCTTTAAGGTGTCAAAATGTTTAATGTCCTCCATTGTTTCCTCTATTTCTAGGTGTCTTGAGGGACTCTATCAAGAGAAAATGAAACAATGACAAACATCAATCCATGCCAAGTATGAACATTGCATTACTTAGTGGTAGCCTGAAAAAACATTTTTTTCAAATTCCTTGCTATTTAGGAACAGGCTCAGGTGCATGTTTATGGAATTGTACTGTCTGACCAAGTTCTAAAGTGGATGGTGGCAAAGAGTGTGAGAATGGCAGTACAGACAACCCACACTGCTGGTAGGTAAAGCAGGGGATGCCATCATCCATCTTCAGTACTGTCAGATACAACATTCAAACTGAAGTGGGAAATATTTTTCTCTGCAAGAAATCAACTGAACTGAATAAATCTTTTTATACATGTACTTAGTTATGCTGCACACATAGCTTGTATGAACTTCATTCATATCTGCAAAAACCATTCATTTTTACTATTAAAAGAAGTCATTTTTGCACAAAGTAGTATTAATACATACACAGTGGAGGAATGCCACTGATATATTCAGATGGAATCTGTCTCTAAACCTTGAATTTGGGTCTCTGTTTTAGTAACAGCAAACCTGCAGTTAGAAGAACCCAAAAATTCTTGCAAGATATTCCAGTTTTATATACATGTTCATGTGTTAATTTTATTATACTATGACTTATTTTTGAAGACTAAATGCACTAAAATGTTTTAATCCTAAAGTACATTTCATCAGCATGTTGTTTTATTTCCTTTCCTTGTAGTTTTGTTAATTTAACAAAGTCCATTAAGATAACATCAATCATTATCTCACTTACAATAGGGCCAACTTCCATCATATCATGTAAATTCTTCTTCATGATATCTCTTGCTCTTCCTAGTAATTTCCGGCAAATTTTATTGGCAAACATAACATCCACATTCCGTGCATATTCAAGTATTGACTGGTTACTAGTGCCCAAAAACCCTAAATGCAGAAATGTCTGGATTAACAACACAAATCACATGTATAACAGAAAAAATAAACCATTTGCAAGTAATTTTTCTTTCTGGGTGGCACTTGTTCTATTAACACATTGCGGACCGGTGGTTTAAACATTTAAATCACTCTGGGGACCGGCGTTTTTAAACCTACTACCCTAACTTGTGCACTGTTCACTTTAAAAATTAATATAAAATCTCCTAATTAATTTTATGAACTGAGATTTTTGGAGAACACTTACCAGAGCTCCTAGAAGTGCTTGCGGGTGTGATATCTCTGGAAACATTCCCCTTTGTGAAGAGGCATTACGCAGAAGTTGCACATATAGGCAGTTCTACTCTTCTTCTTGTGCTCTGCGCGCACACGGCACTGCCTAGAAGGGTGTTTCTTCTTGCAATATTCACTCTTCACAGTTTTCACGAGAATATGTTTCCGCATATCACCCGAGAGTTGGCCAGCGGGGTCTACTTGAGGCCTCTGGCGGGTGCGAACAGATGGCCCCGGCTGCACTACATCTGTGTCTGACGCAGGTACTGCCGCCACCGTGACGTCAGTAGCCCAAGCTTTTGCCAGTTTCAACAGAAATGCTTTGTATTTCAAAGTAGAATTTCTGTTCACCTTTTTGAAAACCATAAATGAATTGAAAATTGCACAGTTTATAAGCCACAGTGCAACTTTCTTCGTCCATTTTACTATTTTCCTAGGAAGGGAATAATAGGCCAAGAACTGGTTGGCCCTATCAACTCTTTTCATGAACATGTTATACTCGGAAATACAAAGAGGCTTATTTACTTGCCCGTGTCATCTTTGAACATCGACCATGCTCGAATTGTGAATAGTGGAAACCATATTCACAACGTGAGTATCCCTCCAGGACTGAAGAAGAATGTCCCCCTTCCGTCAAAGAAACTATCTCCAAAAAACAGTGACGCAACTTCAGACATGTCCGTTGGGTCCGATGGCATCTGCTTCACCCCCGGATCACCAGTAAACTTTCCCAAAGTGGGGGTTTTGTCCACTTTATCCCATGTAGCTGTCCCGACACTCGCACTTTCAACGGAGCTCTCACTTTCACTTGACACATTTTGGGCAGCCCTGTGGCCCCCGTCACTGTCACTGTCACTGATAATGGAATCGCTATCAGAAGATGAAGCAGTTGGCAAATCTGGTAGCTCATTGGAGAACATATCTAATATTTCCTGTCCTCCGAGAGATCGCAACTGCTTTCGTCTCTGAGCCATGTTGAACTGGTAGCTGCGTGGTTCATACATGCAAGCTTGGATTAGAACAAAGCCAATTTTGTTTAGGTTGTGACAGGAAATGATCTGGTCGAGTTACTAGATAAGGCAGCAATTGTTCCTGAGGTCATTTACGCAGTAGTTATGATTCAACAAAGCCACACAGCGATATATAGCGTTTTGCAACATAATGTGACCGTAGAGGGCCAAATGGCCCGCCCGGTCCGCAACGCTTGGAAACGTAGAGGGCCATATGGCCCGTCCAGTCCGCAATGTGTTAATTGGATCGAACAGAATAGGCTTTTGCCTGAGGATGGAGGCTGAGTTAAGTCTCCAAAACATAATTAAGATTAAGACGATAATGTCCTGAAAATTGATCATTGTACTATCACCTTGGTTTTTACACATATAAAACAAGGTAACTTGGCTATTTAGTGCAGCGCAGAACATATAGACAGTAAGAAAATAGCTGTATTTCATCATACATCATTTTTGGCACAACCTGTTATATATTTACAACTTTTATGGAAGCTTTGAACTGTGTGGTATAGTTCAAATCACTTGGAGTGAAAAAAAAAATGGCTTTTCAATGCACGTCTTGCAGTAATATATTGTCTCTTTCTGCAATTTATTTTCTTACATATGACACAGGTGACAGATCCCCTTTCCTTTTCAGCCATTCATCATGCAGGTTACTGAATGGTCTGTCTTGCTCAGCCTTCTGCATTATTTCATGCACTAAGAACTTAACAAGACCTTGCCTAAACTTCTTATAGGTTTAATGCAGCTTCTAACTGTATTGTTACTGGGCAAAGACATACAGTAAACATGAATTACTAAACTCACTTTCAGAAGCCAGAATATTTTCCTGTACCACTTATCTCTCTCATATTACAAACTGGCATACAGCAAGAGTGGTCACTGCATTCAATCCCTCTCACATGTTTAATCTAACACCACACCTGGATTATTTGGATACTCAAAGGAAACTTTTGTCATCTCAGTTATTATTCCCAAACGAAAAGTAGTGAGCATCATGACTGTACATCTGTCCCTCCAAGTTTTTCACTGGCTACGATTGAATGCACTCTGACCCAGTTTTACATAATATAGAATTTCATTCACATTTTTCAACTGACTTCATCCCTCAGCAGGTGCAAAATTAGGTTCAAAACCATAAGTGAAAATTCATCCCTCTGGAACATGTCTAAAAAAGAATGGAATTTTATTCACCCATGCGTGGGAGAAATAATCAGTAGTATTAGGCATGGCATATAGGACTCATGTTTATAATGACACCACATACTGCTTTGATACTATCTAAGGTTGGAGGATACCAGCCTGTGATTCTAGTTATTTTTATGTGGGACATGTTTTGCATTTTCCTTTTATCTCTACTCAGCACAGTTTCCCGCAGGATAAGGTCCAACATATCCAAGTCAAAGAAAAGATAAAAAAGTATTCAACATGCTTATTTCCTGATCACAACTTGATGGTGCAACTGACTATGATCAATATTTTGCACTGGTATAGTTCTACTTGGTCCAGGGTCCAAATGAGAACCTCATGCCAGTTTCTACATAAGAGAGTTGATACTGTTTCACTGACACTTCTACTGCTGTTGATCACAGTCACTTGAACTAAAGCCTGGCATTACAAGTATCTAAAATATATAATATTTCTTCACCACTAGGAATTTCCTGCCAGCCATGTTGTGTAAATACATAAACTGAATAAAAACTACTAAACATATCTACAAATATCACTTTATGCAAACAATTAATAGGGGTTTCTCCATATACAAAATCTAAATCGTGTCTTATATTTCACTCTGCTACCATAAAGGCTAAGAGCCAGGATAGCGCAGTCGGTATATGACTGGCTATAGGTGGGATGACCAAGGGGTCGGAGTTCCGAGTCCAGTGGGGTAAAGAATTTTCACTGCTCCATGTCATCCAGACCAGCTCTGGGGCCCACCCAGTCTCCTATCCAATGGGTACTGGGGGATCTTTCCCCAGAGGCAAAGCGGCTGGTGTGTGAAGCTGACCACTCACCTCTAACTAGTGCAGAGGTCAAGAAAAAGTGGATCTATATCTCCACTCCCTCAGTGCTTAATTTGTTAAGAACAGGGCCAACTTTACCATTTACCTTACCCTAAAGGCTTCTCCTGAACGTTAACATCATCTGCCACAACTTCAGTGAGTTCTTAGGGCTCAGACAGAAATATATTTGGATATATGTGATTTCCGTATATGGGGCATTGATTAGCTTCAAATATAGCTAGTTTCAGCTTGGGAAGGGTGAAGAGTTATATACTATTCTCTAATAAAGAGAATGAGAGGCAACTGCGAAGGTCCACCTGCAACCTGAAAACATGACATAACTTTCCAACTGCTTGACATCACTACTGGAACAACAAAGTTCATGCATGGCTATGTAAACAGGAGAAATGTCAAGGTTGACCAGTTCTCACTTGCCTCACCTTCTCTCTGATGGGGGACAGTATGTTGTCCTTTTACCTATCTCCACCAGATGATCTTGAAAATCTTCAGTTGCCTTCGCAATAACTTTGTATGCTTCTAGATCATTACTGTGACTTGGAATTGTGTCAGATAAGCAGTTTTTTATGAAAAACTCACAGAATTCTTCAGAAATTATTTCTCCCAATCTGTTCATGAGTGTCACATCCTCTTCTATGGCAAAATTCAAATGAGAATACAGGAAGTCAAACACGTCTATGATAATGGAAAAGATTACAGTATAATGTGGTTTTGGAGAGGCAGCATATGATTCTATTTCAATAATGGTGAGGTTAGTTTCTTCGTGGATCTCAACAGTACTCTTCATCGTAATGACTGGCTCCAACAGGTATTTAAGCACTTTGTTTCCAAATTTCCTCAAATAAAAGTCTAGATGTTCAAAGTAATTCAAAGCTTGCATCATTTGCTCCATTTGCATTATGTTTCCTGTAGCCACCTTAAGAATTACTTTTTTCACATTCTTCTCCGGTCCTGCTTCCTCCCATTTCAAGGATGACTTCCAAATATCCTTCATGTCATAGACAAAATGCTCCTCAAGCAATGTCTTCTTAGAGATCAATGTCTCATATATCTCAAGTTGAAGTTCAGCACCAGAACACTGTTCCAAGAGTGAACCAAGGCTCCTCAACTTCATGGCTGCATCTAAGTAACAACCCTTCTCTTGAGCCTGCTTGGCTGCTTTCATGGCAGTATCTATATCCACCAACTGATGAACAAGTTGCATGGTCAGAGCTGCTTCCTGGAGTGATGTGGACAGTCTCTCCAATTCACCTGTTGAGTTCTGGAGGTCCCGTTTTGTCTGTGGAATAAACAGTCACCTCCAATATCTATTTTAATTAATAGTGAAGAGTTCTATCTTCTGGGATATAATGCCATGCAGTCCAATGAAAGTCAACTGACCTCTGGAGGAACATGTGGCCTCCATTTTCAAGTTGAAGAATATGCCAAGCAAGAAACCAGCATGAAGCAGGTAGAGCAATCTGCCTGCTGCAAGCTCAGGTTTGTACAGAAGACAGGAGAGAACAGCAAGACAACTCGTCGGTTCTTTGACCCTGAAGATGGAGGCAACATCTTCCTCTGAAATGCTGGATAACTTCGAACAAACTACACTGTGTTATATCCCAGATGACAGAACACTTCGTAACCACCACTGTGAAAACTTCAAATTCTACACTTTAATATTATTATTGAACCTACACCTGAGGCTTCCAAGTGATGTTTTCCAATGAGACCTATCATTCAAAATTTAGTATGTGCTGTCTTGTACCATTTAGGTCAAAACCATCTCAGCATTTTGTTTTCAGACACCCTCAGTCTCTGCATGAAAGATGAACTTCACCCCCCCCCCCCAAAAAAGAAGTTATTTCAATCCTTACACTTTTACAAATGATGATGATGATTATGATCTAACTGGCAGCATGCGTTTTCTGAACCTAATTACCTCTGATGCCATTTCAAAGCATTATATTACTGCCTGGCACATACACTATAGCATCTTTACAAACATCCTCACACAAAAGAGAAAAAGTCAAAACATCAGCAGTGCAATATACACCATGGAAGGATACAAATTTATTTGTCTCTAGTTACAAAACTTTGGAGGTTATTGAGACGATAATATTGTGGCATATTTGCCCAAAGCAGGAATTGTGGAGCCAGGTGAAACAGCCACTGCTAGGCAACCGCTGTGTAAGCATGCAACAACACCAGAGCCATTGCTAAGCAACGTGCACATGCAACAGTGGAGGAACTCCTGAATGCAGTTTTTTCTATGTGGTCCATGGAGGCGGGGTCAAGTACCTCCACCACAGTCCTGCGAGTCGTAGGAGGCGACAAAAAGGGAACCCTGTGCCTGGGGGTATAACTGGGCCACTCTGTTCCTGGGGGATATAAATATGAGAACCAGAGCCTCCAGATTGTGGGGAGTCTTGAATCTGAGACAGTAAAAAGTGGTTATGAGTCCTGTTGGTCTCAGATCTCAGAATGACTGCACTGGTGAGGATAATCTTCTTGTCAGAGAGGAGGTTATGTAAGGACTATAACTGCAAGTGTTCAGTTGCATAAGTCATAAGTCTCGAGGGGCTTGTCACCAAAACGAACTGATGGGCCATAAACTGCCAGTCATAAAGTGAATCTGATTGTGTGAGTCAGTTCGGCAGTTGGAAGCCAGTTAGTTTGGCTTGGAAGTCAGTCAAGAATTAATAGCTGAAGCTGGAGGTTGGCAGTCATAAGTCAGTCCAGCTTGGGAGCTAGCAGATAGCTAATACCGGCTGTATGAGTATGAGGTTGGCATGAGATGGCTGCCAACCTGGAAGGACATGCGCCTGGAGGCAGAGGAACTCCCACTACTGGAAGCTGCTACCAAGCAATGTGACTGAGAACACTAGTCTGTGTGCGATAGTGATCTGTAAAAGTGTTCAGTAAATCCAGTTATCAATAGAAAACCCATCCATTGACATTCAAACATGTGACAATGTGAAGCAGAACCGTAAAAAGCAGTTACTTGTGTGAAGGGTTCCATCTTCTGGAATATCACATCATGTTCGCTACCTGCTTGGCTTATTCTTTGACCCTGAAGATGGAAGTGACATGTTCCTCTAATACTTAATTTGACTTTTACCAGAGTACACAACATTATCCCACAAGACAGACCTCTTCATAGTAACCACTGAGAGAACCTCAAATCCAACATAGCTAGTTGGCCAATCTGCAACTGTTTCAGACTGCATCTTCTTTTTACTGTTCATGTCATGGAGCTTTCATATCACAAGGTGTGGCCCATACTGTATTCACTTATAAGTAAAAAGTAAAAGTAAAGCTATCCCTGTAATAGGCCGTATAGGCCCATAGGGTTGTGAGACGTTGAGGGTCCCACATTATCTAGACAATCGGCTCAAAGATGGCGGTAAGGTTGTCAGCCTTATGCACCAGCCGCACTTTACTCGCCAGGAAAATTATTTAATTAATTCCTGGTACTCATTTCTGTTAGAGGCTGAGTCGACCCCAGGGCCATAGTGCAGCTGGAAGGATTAGGTCAATTGAAAAAATCCAATGACCTCATTGGGACTTGAACCCGTGACATTTCTGGCTTGTAGCATAGTGCCTCTACCAACTACGCTACCGTATTCACTTATAGCTCATATTATTTCCTACAACAAAGCAGTGATAACAGCTCTTGTGATCTAAGAGTTACATGAAGAGAATACCACTGTATTGAGATCAGATACAACCTAACAGACATAAGTTTACAACGGCACACTGTAGTATGAGAGAAACAGGTGACTTCATGCCACTAAAGCACTGGCTGCATCAGACACAATGTGCAGAATGAAGAGGATATGCTAGATGTTGTACATGCTAATCATTCATCTAGCTGCAAATGAAACATGCCTCTCTGAATGAAGTGTGGCATACACTGCATGAGGAACAGTTGTACTTCTTTCATGTACAATTTGTTCGAGGGCTACAGACAGGGAATAATAATCTGTGCCTCCAGTTTCGTCAATGGCTTCTATATAAAACTGAAGAACCTTAGTTTTTGTGCTGTGTACTGTGGACTGATTACGCAATATTCACAATGAAGTATATGATTTCCACATCCAACACAAACAGGTGATGGAGAATTCTCACGCTACTAGACACTCTTCATTTCAACAAAGATTACATACAATGTCTGGACTTAAATCATTGACGATTACCTGACTGAACCATATGTGACAGTGAATCATCACTGCAGAATCCAGTATGCTGTTTTCCCTGAAAGAACATTACCCCTTTTGTTGAAGAAACTACCACTTAATGTTGATAAGGGGATGTGGTTTGAGCACAGTGGCACCCCTCGCCACTTTTCATACCATGTACATTGAACAAACAGATGTTTCCAATGGGGATCCAACTGTCTGCCCTCCACGTTCTCATGATCACAACTCCATTTTTTCTTACAGGGTTGTATCAAAAAAAAATTATGCCACAGACGTACAAGACTGAAAAAACCTGAAAAATCATATCCTGGTAGCTGTGACAAATATTAGGGGCCAATCTAGGCAACGGGTTAATGTGAGAGAATCCATCCAACATAGCTGTGAAGCATACATCTGAAATGGAGGAAGTAATTCTGAACTGTCTTGTGAAGAAATACACAGAACTGCATACAAATCCTCCCTACACGATCATACACTGCAGTTATACATAATGTAAAATTGAAACTGAAAAGCAACGATAAGTTTAGAATATTTTTTGTTATTCACAGCAATTAAAAGTGATAAATAAAGATATTATATAAATAATCTAGGCATGCATGAATGGAAAGTCATCAATTTATACACTCTGCTCCAAATTATATCCCCACCAACCTCCTAAAATTTACCAATAGGATTTTGAATCATCCTCTATAAATGGCTTGTTGTACATATTTTCCCACCTTCCCCTTTGTGCCTTTGCACACGAATTTTACTGTCAGTGAAAGAATGAAGCCAATGCAATATGTTACTGTGTAATGGATATTATCCCTTGGTCTACATCTGAGATGCAGTTGACAGGCCATTCCATGTCAACTTGACAGTTTAGTTCCTTGGTGCAATGTTTACTTAATGAAACTGTTTCAAATGCAGATTTTCTGTTGCATAAAATAACAGATAATTATCTTAAGGTGACTGAAACAGGATTTTCTGACCATAAACACAGATACTACAAATACAGATGCAGTATAACAATAAAAAGGGGCAAGTTAGACTAAAGGAAGAATTCAGATTAGCTAGATCTTACAGAGAAGAAAATGTACAATACCTAAACTATCTACTAGAAAAAGAGACTTTGGAGCTTGTCTTTGAGCACAATTCAGCAAACGAGGCATACAATGAATTTTTAGGTACTTTACAGTATTATGACGATATAGCTATGCCTAAAAAAACGGGTAAAAACTAAACAGCAGGAAACTAAATGGGTCACCTCAGGAATAAGGGTATCGGGGTATAGACTCAGGTTTCTTAATAGTCTAATGAAAGAAGGAAATATGCCAGAAGAATTTAAAAAATACTATTGTCATTACAAAAAAATATACAACAAAGTTATCAGTGAAGTAAAAAAATGAACTAATAACATGCGAATAAGAGCATCAGGGAATAAATCAAAAGCCATGTGAGACCTTGTTAAGGAGGAACTATGTAAACAGAAAAAAAGCAACGAAGAATATTGAAATAAGAGAGAATGAAGTAAATATAGAGGATCCAAAAGCTACTGCCAATGTCTTTAATGAATACTATACCAGTGTTGCCCAAAAGATATTGAGTGGCAATCCATTATCCAAAAACCAATGAAGTTAATGTCAATACAGTAAAATATAATAGTATCAGCACGTTCTTAACCCCAGCTACTGAAGAGAAAGTGGCAGGCATAATTAAAGGATTGAGTAATAAAAAATCAAGGGGAATAGATGATATTCCAGAGTATATTATTAAAAAATGTTATCCTAAAATAACAACTGCTTTGACACATATAATAAATCTGTCACTCTCAAATGGGCATTTTCCTGATCAACTAAAAATTGCAAAAGTGAATGAAACCTTTGTATAAGAAAGGACGTGACACAGAAGTTGGGAATTATACACCAGTTTCACTAATTTCTGTTTTTTAAAAAATAATAGAAAAATCATACATAAAAGACTTTTATCTTTTTTTAATAATCATAGCATAATTAACAATAAACAGCATGGTTTCTGTAAAGGGAAGTCAACAAATACTGCAACTGCAGAGTTTACATAAAGGATCTACAAATCAGTGGATGAGAGGGAAATAAGTATAGGGATATTTCTGGATCTGTCAAAGGCATTTGACTTAGCTGATCACGATATATTGCTAAGGAAGGTGACAAGAATGGGAATAAGATGGCTTGCACTAAAATGGTTTCAATCATATCTAGAAAACAGGGAACAAAAAGTGGAAATTACATACAGATGTAAAGAAACTAATGAAATCACTATCTATCTGTCGCAAAAGAGACCCATGGGACATGGAGTCCCACAAAGTTCTGTTCTCAGACCAGTTTTGTTTTTGCTACGTATCAATGACCTAGAAGCCGGCATTGAACATGGAAGACCAACGTTTTTTGCTGATGATACTAGTATTCTTATAACAGGAAATAGTGCTAATGATGTCCAAAGGAAAATAAATAAAACAATAAATGCACTCACAGAGTGGTTTGAAAGGAACAGATTAATTATTAATAAAAAAAAAAAAACAACAGCAATATCCTTTCATCAACCTCAAAAAGTACAAGTTGAATGCCCATCAATAAAGCTCTATGATACAGTCATCAATTATACAGACCATACAAAATTCTTGGGAGTTTGGTTGGATAAGAATCTAAGGTGGACTGCACATACTCAACAACCAGCAAATAAATTATGTAAAATATATTTTGCCTTATGAGTAGTCAAAAGAGTATCAGGGTTAGAGACTGTTCGCACCTTATATTATGCTTATCTTCAATCCTTGTTATTATATGGATTGATATTTTGGGGCAATTCAGGAAATGCAAAATTGATCTTTAGGTTGCAGAAGAGAGCTGTTAGAGCTATGATACAAATCCTGAAGACCATTAGTTGTAAACAATATTTTAAATCTTTACATATATTACCTTTACCATGTCTGTATATATATGAAATTCTGGTTTACATAAAAACCAATCTGAATGTTTTCATAACCAATTCAGGAATACACTCGCACAATACATAGTGCCATGTAATATGAGTCTATTCAAAAACAATTTCAATAATACTGGACTTGGTATGCTAAATCAGTTGCCACAATATATTAAAGAGATACCAGTAAAAGTTTAAAAAGACTTTGAAAACATTCCTACTTGATCACTGTTTCTATAGTACAGACGAGTTTCTCTTGTTTGGGGCCAAATCCTACCTCTAATCACTTGTAAACATGTATTTCAAGAATAATTAACTTGTAGATTTTAATATTAGTACTGTTATAGGAATGCCTACTGCCCTACTCTGTATTTTTTCTTACAGGAACGAGATCGAGGATACCAGGGTATTTTGTGCCAGGATAGAAGGATCGGGTCTTGAGGCGTACAGTGGTGTCATGTGTTAAACAATGATATTAATTCTATTATTAGAATCATCATTGTATTATCTTAGTATATTATTATTATTCTTATCTTTATTGTAAAGTATTTGACTTGTCCTATATCATATCCATGGATATGAAGTAAATAAATATATGAGTGGAGTGGATGGGGAAGGAAGAAGTCATGAACCATATCAAGGAAGAACTCAGAAATACCTCATTCAAGACAGCTATTTCTCTGGCTGGGATTCTAAACATATACATCCCAAATAGAGTGAAATACCAATTTAATGTTTTCTCTTCATTTAACGTTCAGCTTCAATAACCCCAGGTTACAACCTCAATGTTAAATTCCTCCTTTAAGATTTCCCTCTTTAGTGTTAAAATTCACTGTTCCCCAAAGATATCTTAAGTGTTGGTTTTTATAAACACTTATGTTGTCACTGTGGCAACCATACTGATGAATGCCAGGATAATACTATAAAAAAATTTATGACCATTTCCCCCACATCACCCTAAATACATGCCATCCAAACATAAACACTGAAGCTGATATAGCATAATTAAAAATCATACATATTTAAGTGAATTGTCTACAAACCTGAGTTTCAACCCTTATCAAGAGCTGACTCATCTCATTGGACAGTGCCCTCACTCTGCTATCCAATTCAACTGTCTCTTGATGTAATACATTAAATTTAACATATGACTCTTCCATTACACTTATTACATCACACTTTAATGAAGCTACCTTTTGAGTGATCTCAGATATTTTACCATCCAAGTCCATTATTTCCACCTGACCTGTGACAAAATAAGGTCATCTAAGAACACAATGATTTGAGTTTGCTTTCAGGGCTGAAGTTAATCATGTCCTTGAAAGAAATATTATGAAATATGCAAACACTATGCCGATTCTCCTGCCACAATGTTAGCTTTACTGTGGGACACACACAAACATTATTTTCACTCACTCCCCTTCCTTTGAATTTGTCTGAATGCAACAATGAACAATTTCTGATAAAACCTTATTTTAACTTATATGCATGCAACATACTGCATCCCACCAAGCCAAATCAAACTTTATTCCCACATCAAACTACCATGAACTGAGAAGCATGACCAGCAAAGTACACAAAGTAGAATGGTCTAACGCAATTCCACAAGCACAGCAAAATTTTGATATGGTCTGGATTGTCTTGGTTGTATTATTTTAATTTAGTATGAGCACATTTCATGTGTAGTTAATTTAGATTTTGTTAGTTGGTACTACATCTTTCCAGGAAGGAACAACATGCAATCAGAAAAATCTTGGCATGTAATATAACAGACATTCCAAATCATAATTTTTGTGGGTTATTTATTGACACTTTCAGTACAGAAACTACATAGTGTGGGATGGAAGACAAAGCAGACTGAAAAGACTTAGTGCATGCTGTAGTGAATTGTGGAGTGTGGGAATTTGTGATAGTGTTACAGTTACTTGTAGTTACAATCAGTAAGTGTTCAATAAATCCAATTACCAATCCAAAGCCCATCTACAGTCACACATACATGTGACAACTGTGTCAGAAGTGGGATTGGATTGATCAGATTGTTGGTTTGGAGACCACAGTAGGAAAGTATATCGCCACTCTATGAAGAAAGTTGTCCCTGTGCTTAACTTATTAAGTATATGGGGGAGTGGATGTATAGATCCACATTTTCTTCACCTCAGCACTAGCTGGAGGTGAGCAGTCAGCTTCATGCCCCAGCCACTTTACCCCCAGGGAAAGAGTCCATGTGAGGGTATCATCAATGATTAAACCTAAAAATTTTGTTCCTGATGCCTTGATTAATTTAATTTGATCATCTACAATTTTGGAAGTAATGTTATAATAATTCATGGAACGAAATTCAACATACTAAGATTTGTTAAAATTCAAAGTGAGCAAATTAGCATTAAACCATGCATCAATGTCTTTAAGAGTTTGATTAAGATCAGTTTCAAAATCTAGCTTGTTTGTGATAGTTACTATAATACTCATGTCATCTGCAAAAAGTATNATACGTTCCTCCGAAACGTCGGTTAACACCACATATACACGGTGCCAAATCCCAGAAGACTGCTTTCTTCACAGTCACCGCCGTGAAAGCCTCAAATCTTACATATTATATTATTGTTTTTGTTGATTATTGATGGTAAGTCATTAATATAAAGTATGAAAAAAAGTGGGCCAAGGATTGATCCTTGAGGAACACCACACTTAATTACTTCCCATTCAGAAGAGCTTCTGCAGTCAAATCTGTTACCTATTACAACTTCTTGATATCTATCCGTTAGATAAGATTCTATGAGTGTTTTAAATTTTCCTTCTATTCCATAAAATATTAACTTGTCCAATAATATTTTGTGATTGACATAGTCAACCGCTTTTTGAAGATCACAAAATACACCTCCTACCATTAACTTATTATTCATAGCGTGTAGGATGCTATCAATGAAAAGGCCGCCTGCTCAGTTGAAGAATGAGACCTGAAACCATATTTGTTCTTGGGCCAATATATTATTTGTCTCGATATGCTTAATGAGTCTTGCATACGTAAGTTTCTCGATTATCTTAGAAAAGGAAGTTAGCAGTGATATAGGTCTATAGTTAGCAACGTTTTGAGTTTCCGCTTTTTTAAATAGTGGTCTGATTATAGTAAATTTCAATCTATCAGGGAAAACACCAGTACTAGGAATTGCATTACAAATGTAAGTCAATGGGGAAATTATAAATGGAAGGCTTACTTTTATAATCGTATTAGAAATTTCATCGTATCCACTCGAGTTCTTCGTCTTTAATGATTTAACAATTCTTGTGATTTCCTGAGTGGAAATATATTGCCATTTCATCTTGGGGAAAGGTCCACTAAATGAGTTTACTAAGTAATCTATTGGAGCAGGTAGTTCTTGATTTGAATATATATTCTTGTTTGGAATGACTGAATCTGTTCTAGATAGAAAGAACTTATTAAAGACATTTGCACTTTTGTTCTGATTCTTTATTGATTTGTTATCTACCATTATAGAGTGAATACAATTATCCTTTTTTGTTTTCCCTTTTTCCTCATTTATAATTTCCCATGTGCTTTTCATTTTATTATTGGATTTGGAAATAATTCTATTGTAATTCTATTCTTGGCGGCAATAATCACTTTTGATAATACTTTACAATATAATTTATAGTATATTTTAAGATTCAAATCTTCACAATGCCTGCTTAGCAATAAGAGGACTCTCTTTCTTTTGCATGAAATCCTAATCCCCTTGTGTAATCCATTTGTTGTTATAAACATTATGCTTGACTTCTTTTTTTGGAAAGCAGGTATAAAAACATCTTAGATACGTATTATGAAAATAGTATTAACATTATTACTTAATAACTTAATAACTTTTGAAAATCTTCAATATTATTCTTGTTGATATTTCTTATAAAAGTAGGGCCAGAAACACCATTTGGCATGGTAACATTCCTGAAAGTAACAAGCTGCACATTGTGATCAGATAGCCCATTAATACATGGCCTAATGCTATAGCTATGTCTGTTATCAATACATATATTATCTATTAGCGACGCTGACATATTAGTAATTCTTGTAGGAAACTTAACAGTATCCTCGAGGTTATAAGTACTTAACAAGGCCTCTAATTTAGATTTCTGCTGTTATTTTCCAAGTAGTTGATATTAAAATCCCCACATATTATGAATTCTAAGTTAAATTTGTTGAGAGTTGAGAATAAAATCCAGTGTTTAAAACGTAGAGTCAAAATTACCTACTGGGGATTATACACGGAACAATTATCCTTACTTTACTGAGTTCTAATTTAATAGCTGCAATTTCAATATCCTTTTCTTAAGAAATTTTTTGCAAATTAAGAACAGTGAAATTATAATCCTCGTAAACGAATATACAGACACCACCTTTTTTGTTTCTTCCTACAATAACTGGCACCAAATTTGTAATTAGGTATATGAGTACCATCCATTTCATAAGCGTTTAAATGATGCTCCAATAAACAAATTATGCTAGGTTCATCATTTACCAAAGAAAGCATTGATTCATTTATTTTACATTTCATACCATTCATATTTTGATGAAATATCTTGAAGGAGACGTTTAAGTCATCACTCTTCTTAATCTTATTCCTTGAAGATTCTGGTCTATTTGAATAAAGATCTACCATAAAAAATTATTTCTTGAGATGGTGGATTTGTTTTGTCTACTTGAAGTTCTACATACATGGGCTCTATCTACTTCTTTGCCATACATTTCCTGTTCTATGTTATGTGATAAGTTTTTTTCATTTCTAATTATACCAGTATGATCATTGTTCAGCATTAAGGAATCCTTATCAAGGACAGGTTCAAGATTTTTAACAATTTTATTATGAATATCAGATTTATCTTCCTTCCACTGCATTTGTATAGGAGCGGGTGTTTTCTTTTTTAGGCACTGTTTCACTAATCTGGATAATTGTAAAGAAACCAGCTTTTTTGCCTTTATTGTTTAAATGTTGACCATGTCTAGTAAAGGGCTCCCTTTGAACTTCCACATTTAAAAGCTTAATGTTTCCACGTAGCTTAATTATTTTAATTGTCTATTAAATTTATTCACTTCCTTGTTAACAGAGGTCTACATAAGATCATGCCTAGGTAATGAGTTTATCAATATCATATTCACCTCATCGTTAGTGGACATGAAGCAAGATAAATTTCTTAGAGCATCTTTAGAATTGTTTCTGCTGATATCGTTTGCTCCTGCCCACAAAATCACATCTTGCTGTTTCAGTGCAGATACTTCCTTTTCAGCCATCTTAATGATCACGCTGGATAAGGCTCCTGGTTTAATAAAACCACAGACTTCATAGCTGTGATCAAGATTATGTTTAAGATCTAATGCACATTTTTTGGCATGACTATCGCCAATTAACAACACTTTGTAGTCACCTGTCTTAACAGTTCTTGCTAATTGATTAATACCTTTTACATGAGAACAACTATTTAAAAACTTAATTTTGTCATCCTTGGATAATACACCCATGGCGTCTTCTTTGAGGTTAGCAAGAACCTCAAATCTATTTTGTGAAGCGGGAGCTAACTGAATCAGATTGCTGTTCAGATCGTAGTTTTTGTTGTAGTTTTTGGAGTTTGATTGTGTCCATCCTCCAAATTTACTTTCTCTTATATCTTCCATAGGCTGCCTGTTGTTTAAATATTATTTCCCCTTCACAGCCATATTTTCTGCATCAACCATAACCTCAGATTTTGTGTCACCTGCTCCCAGTTCATTATATAGTAATTTGTTTACTAATTGCAACGATCTTATCTCTATAAGGGCTTCTTGATGATTCACTTCACTACCAACGCACTTAGAACATTGGGAGATCTTATAAACCTCTTGCTTACACTTATTTATTACATCTTGAGAACATCGTGCTAGAACAATATCTTCCATTTGTTTGACCTTTTTGTGAAGTAACTCCATTATTCTTTTGGCAGATTTTAATTCCATTTGAGTCATTTTTAATCAGTAAGTGTTCAATAAATCCAGTTACTGATACAAACCCCATCTATAGGCACTCAATACACGTGACAATACCATTATACAAACTCCACTTCTGCAAACAGTCCTTATCATACTGCAGAAGTTTACAGCCCTCAGTGTTCTTAACATTAAGATATGTCTTCAGATTATCCACAAACAGTGGAACCACAAATATCATTAGCAAAAATATTTAAAAAGGGTTCTACAGTGGGCCCTTGTGCAAAATTACACTTCCCAGTATAAGAAGATGTGTATAAAGATACGAATTGAGGCTTCTTTTGGTTAAGTAGCTATGAAACTAACTCATGAAACCAGAAGAAAGTCCAGAATTATAAGAAAGAAATGATGAGATATAATGTCAAAGGCATTATGTGAAGTAAACAGATTGTTTGTCCTTGAGTGTTACTGAGTGTAGGACAGTGTGTTAACACAGGTAACAAGATTAGATGAAACAGAACTACATTTTGAAACCTCTGTGCTTAATAATTAAGCATCATGCCATGAAGATGTATTGGAGAGTAGAGGTACAGCACTGCCACTCTTAACCTTGGCACAAGATGGAGGTGTGTGGTCAGCTTCATGCTGAGACCACAATAACCCTGGGGAAAAAAGTTCCCAGTACCCACTGGACAGAAGGCTCAGTGGGCCCTACAGCTGGTCCAGACACTGTGAAGAGAAAAATCTCCTGCCCCTGCTGCAAATTAAACCCTGGCCACCCAGCTTATAGCCCATCACTACCATCTGAGCTATCCCAGCACCAGGCCTATGTATAAAAATTATATATGTCATATGACATTCGTTTTGTCACTGATATTCAGAGTTAAAAAAACACTTTAGGGTATATAATCAAGAGCGTTAATGTATTTCAGAAGTGACATAATTATGAGAACAGATGGTGAACTGTGTAATACAACTGTGTAAGTTTGGATAGTGGACATATAAAACAATGTAAATACTATGGTGAACACATTTTTTAATTCAAACTGTAACCACTGGTGGAAAGTGTCTACTTAGAAGTTTGTGCTTTTGTTATGAAATTATGAAAAATTTCATTCAGCACTCAGGTAACATAGAAACCCTGAACCATGTAAATAAAGATGCAGTGAAGTGAAAAAATATATGTGGTGATTACATAGATGATGATGAAAGTAATAATTCTTCACATTCCATTTTCTGCTCATCTTACAATTTTTATGTGGTACATCTACCACATACAGATTGTAATATGGAACCATAATAATGTTATGGAACCTACACACAAAACTAGGATTACACTGGTACAGGATAAGGTGTAAGAAAGTTCTCCACAGTAGCAAATAACGAAATGGCGAGCCATTAGAAAGAATAAGGGCATTCAACCTTACATCAACAGTCAATGCAAATCTACCATACAAACTGAACACCAAAAAAAAAAGTTTCCAGTCTGACAAAATGTATTCAATGCAATAGCTGTCGGCCCGTTTACACACGCTTTTGCCAAACGACGGGCACTTCCAAGAAGCATTTAAGTGAGTTGCCACTAATCTGAATATCCTTACCTGCTGTGGCCAGCACTGTTTCAAGGAAACTCATGATTTTTCTTCTTCTTTTTGGGAAGTGCTGAATTATAGAAGCAACTAAATGAAAATGTTCTTCACTTCATACACACCTACAAAACATTAGCTGTCGCCACACATTACACACCTATGGACATAGATAACATGGACTTAAATTTCTACCTCAAAGTGCTCCATTCTTTGTACAACATATCAACACTCGCCCGTTGAGCCACTCACTACTTTCAGTGCTTTCCAGGGCAGGGGGTGGCAACTCAATGCTATTGGCGGGCAACACAGCCAGCGTGACGTCATGAAGCATCACTGCTGCCGCGGTGGCTAGCTGCAATTCTGTCCACAAAAAAAAAAAAAAAACCACAGCCAGTTCCCTCGGGCGGT